CCCCAAAACCCCAAAACCCCAAAACCCCATTTAGAGACAAGCGAGCTGATATAATTAAATTGTCTATTAATTTCCATATCATGTCCAGTAACACTACCAATCCCTCAGCCCCGATCTCCACTCTAAAAAGTAACCCACCCCATTTCCTCCCCTACAAAACCCCCTACTTCCCGCCTAAATTCCCAACCCCAATCCCCCACCTTTCAACCCCCTAATTTTCCCCCTTCAGAATCCCCCAGCCGCTTATTTCTTCCCTCAATGATCCCCCAGTGCACCACTCAGAGCCTCAAGCTTCCTTATTCAACGAAGGAAATAGAAGTGACTCAGCTGACTGAGACTGAGTTTAGGAGTTCAAAGTCTGAAGGTTTTGTTCTGCCTCAGATTTCAGGAAGAGGAGAGGAGGGTAGAAGAGATTTTCAGAGTAAACTGTTGCTGTAAGTTGGGAGGTATTATCTATGCAAATATTTATAGAACTTTCATAGATAGCCTCTTCTTGAGTTCTTCATTCGTCATAAATTTATCATCTTCAGTTGAAAATTCTCCTTTCTCTATCTAAATCTGCGCTGGTTCCATTCTATTTCATAATCGAACTTCTTAGATTTCGAAACTTCCTATCACTAAAACATGATACATAAAATCTGTTTGATAATCCAGTTAGGCCTTGCTTAGTGTAACGTTTATCTTTTGGAGTAAGAAGGACTCCCTTGCTATAAAATTATTTTGAAGCTATTAAGACTATATTGGGAATATATCGAATTATAAGTATTTCTTTCAGGAAATCGAGATTTCATTTACAATTTTTCAAAATTTCTAATGTTTTATATAGTAAACGAAGCAAGATGAACATCTATAACCTCAAAGTTAATACTGAGAAGAGCAAATTAATGAACCCCTTCCAAGCCATCAAGGATATGAAGAACCTCAGTTACCAAAACAGCCCGACCTCAGCAGAAACTAAGAGCTCATGAAAAACTGTAGGAAATCTGAGCTATATCTTTGTCAAACCTAAGAGCTCCCAAAAGAATACTAAGGAAGAACTGGTTAATGAATTTCTAAACCAGCAAGGAGTCTTCCAAATCAACTTGCCTGTGGCTCTGAATGATTACAGTTTCAGAAATCAGTAAATATACTGACAGAAGAGCCGCGCCTCGATTATTTATTAAGATATTTGTCCCTAAGAATTTACTATACAGAAGATGTCTTACTGCCTTCTCATAATGAGTAGGAACACTTTTTATTGTTTCACTGAAAGTATCTAAAGTCGTTTGTTTTGGAGTATTTTTATTTGGGAAAATCTAGAGTTTTTGTATGATTTGTGAAATGTTCAGACAAGTGCAATTAATTCAATTAATGACCTTCATTCTTTGTTTTCTGGAACTTGTCTTGTATTGGCTAGCAAAGATAGACACCCCTTTTTCTTATGAAGCATCTCGAGATTTATAACTTGATATTTTCTCCATCACCAAAACGTGCTGATAATAATGAACACGTTACACTTTTTCTTCATACCTAACCTATTGATTTTAAATTCATATGACTTGAGTGATAACCTCGTAGCTCTCTCAGCTCTTTCAGAAAACTTAACTAATCTAAAGGGCTGAAATGTCAACTTCCAGAAAGACTTTATAAAGTGAATCTAAAATTATAATAATGACCCTTCTCTGTAAACCATTTATGAACATCTCTTCAGACTAAGAACAGGAGATTATTCTAAAAACTAGTATTCAGATGCAATCGGGTTGGCAATATAATAATAGAGCTTTTAAATTTTCTAGAGGCTTATACAAGAGTACTAGCAAATGGGGGCAGACCCTGGAGCGAGAGGCAATAAGGGCTAAATTTGGTCACAAGCTCAGTGAGATGGTAGCAGTGCATTTTGGAGAATCAAAAAATCAAGGTAGTACGAGAAACTTTTGGTGAGTCCAAGAGGCTACTTTTAGAGAATAGGGAAAATAGGTATTTATATTCGAGTCTTTCTACAGCTGTTAGGCACGATTTGGAGAATAGATTAATTGTTGATGAACTTTTATAAAGTTCAAATAAGATTTTTATGATTTTTAGGAAGTTTTAAAAAGTATCGAAAAATCCAATGAAGAAAAGAAATACTAATATAAAAACTTATTTCAAAATCATTTATTTCCAAACAAATGCTATTGTTAAAAATAAGAAATTAGCTTTAGAAATCTAACCTATTATAACAAAAAAAAGCAATTCAAACCTCCAAACCTGCAAGTCTCCAAGTTCAAACCCAATAAACCCTAAATCCCCTATCATCCACCCTTCCACTCTCAAATCTCCACTTTCCTCCAAGACTTCTTCTTTCCTTAAAATCCTTTTTCCTTCCTCTTCAGCATCTCTTTTCCTTACTGTCTCATTCCAATCTAATTTCTCACATTCCTACAGTACCGGCCTCGTCATGTACCTATTTTGTAGAATCACCAGACCTTCATATTTTCAAAACGAGATCTTTAAAAGTTAGTGATTGAGTAGAAGGGGTTTTGGGGTTTTGGGGTTTTGGGGTTTTGGGG